TCTATCACTTCCACTCCTGCCCCAGGAGTCCTTGTTCTCCACGGCAGCCACAGGGGCTTTTGAAAATCATAAATCAAATATACCTCTCCCCAGCTCACACACCATCCACAGCTCCCCACTGTTCTGCAGTCCACTCCTTCGCCACAGCCCCTGCCTGCAGAAACCCCCACCCTCCTCCTCCTCCTCTCTCCTGCTTGCTTATTCTGTTCCAGCCACACCAGTCTCCTCACTGTTCCTCAAACACGCCAAGCTCGTTTCTGCCTCAGGACCTTTGCACATGCTGTTCCCTCTGCCTGGTACGCTGCTCTTCTGGCTCTTGCCTGACTGGCTACACCTCCTCTCTTGCGTCTCAGCTCAGGGTCAGCTCCCTGGAGAGGCCCAACTACGGAGGCCTCTCCAACCCCTCAGTCATTCTCTAACACATCTCTGTGTTCTGTTTTCCTCACTGTGTTCCCAGTGCCCAGCCCTGGGCCTGGCATTCCATAACTGCTTAGTCTTTGCTGACTGATGAAATGACCCCACACATTCGACAATGGCACCTGGTCCCCTCCACACAGGCAGCTCACTGCCAAGCCCAGAATGTCAGTCAATATTCATAGGAGAAAAACGGATCAGAGGAGCTGCTCCCCGAGGGTTGGCTCTAGGGAGTGATGTCACAGGATCTGGATGGTGGAAACTACGGGGGTTCTAGGGCCACCCCAACTCAGTTCAGCTCCCTCCTTTTGGCTTCGTGACTCTGGGTGGATCACTCAGACTTTCTGAGCAGGTTCCCCACCACCAGTGACCTGAGAAAATGGACAGTGACTCTCCAGAGGGGACTCTAGAACACACAGTTATGACAATAGTTATTATTATCATTATATTAGCAGTATTATTTCAAAGGTTGGCACTTTGAAGTCGCCAGTTTTTTTATCCAACTCCTGGCCCATCCCGCTACTCCTAAAGGTGACCTGAACTTGTGACTCACTCACCCTGGAGTGCAGGGGTCTTCCTAATGAGACGCGATGAAAGGGGCTGTCTGCTTTAGTCCCACTGGACGACCACTTGGCTGGCAGGGGGGCTGTGGCCACTTTTCTTGCCCCCCCCCCCACACCCAAGCCGTCAACCTGTAAAGACCAAACACGGGTTGTGGGGTGGAACCAGGGTCCCAGGAGGGCAGGGTGCAGACAGCTCCCAGACCACAATGGTCTTTAGAACAGATCTGTACTCTGACAAGCTGAGTTTTACCGTGTAAGTTTCAGGGTAACCTGTGATCAGTGGTGGCACTGTCTGTCCAGGTGGGGGCCTGTTTCCTTCTGTGGGCCCCTCTTTCAACCCCTGTAGATACACCCCCACACACACTAGACCCCCTCCCTGGAGGCCCCCCTCCTTCCCCTGACACCGTCTATGTCCCTTTCTTTGTGCTGGCCCCTGTCTTCCTCTCCCACGCCCCCCCACCACACCCCCACCAATTCCTCCACCACAGGAAGAGTTGGGTGGGTGAGGCTGGCATGGGCTGGCCTGAGGATAAAGGAGTCAAGGAATCCCCGGCTTGACCAGCTCTATTCTTTGCTGTCCCTTAATTCTCCCCAGTCTGCAGCTGCCCTGGGGACTGGGGCTCCCTCACGGAATTCGCTGTCTCCAGAAGCCCCATGTGAGCATAATACCCTCATCCTGCCCTGGAGGAGAGGGCAGAAGGGGACACATGATGGTCCCATGGTGCCGCAGGGTTGGGGAGACCTCAGAACGTGACTGAAGGGAAAACTCAGCCGGCTGTGAACATCACAGCCGCCCTTTCTTTTGCCAGAGGTCTGGGGTGGGGGCTCATGGCCAGGTTCATGGCTCTGGTGCAGCCTGTTCTAGCCAGGGGACCTTTTGAAGTTGACCCTGGCCCTTCGGAGGGCAGGGAATTGTAGAAGGTCAATAGCGGGTGAGTGATCAGAGTGGAAATTATTCTATAGGCTCACAATGCTTGGCTTGCCCATCTGGAATTCCCCCCACCCCCAAGGGTTTCCTTCCAGTTCTTGGGCTGGCTTGGGGAGCGGGGCTAGGAGGCAGGAGAGACCTGGAAGCCAAAAGGAAGGAGCCAGGTCGGGGGTGTGGGGTGGGGAGGTGGGGGGTTCTCCATTCAGTTCCACCAGGGCCTCTGGCAGGGCAGAGAGATTGGGGAGAGTGACAGAAACCCTCCTCCCTTTCCAGGGCCCCCAGAGAGGGCCCTCACACCTGTGGTTAAACGCAGGGAGCGGAGGACCCTAGAGCTGACACCACCCGCTGGCTTCTAAGGTTACTGAGCCACAAACCCCCCGCTCTGCTCCTGCCCAGCTGCGTGACCTTGGCTAAGTGCTAACCCTCTCTGGGCCTCTCTCCCTGTCGGCGGGGGTGGGGGTCAGAGAAGAAGAGAGAAGAGCCGCGAGCTCCAAAGAGCAGGCGCTCAGACGCACAGTAGGCTGGCAGGTGGGGTTTCCTTCTACTCCGCAGCAAGGCCGGCCGGGGGAATCCCTGCCACAGACTGGGAGAGAAAGACCGGGGGGAGCGGGGAGGAGGTGGGGAGGGGGCAGTGGGGCCAGTCCTCCCGCTTCCCAGCACACTGAGGGCCGCGCGGGAGGGTCCGCATGTCTCCACCCTCACCTCCGTGGGAGGCTGTCTCCGCATCCCAAATTCCGGGAGCGGAAGCCCCTTTCTCCAGGGTTGGGGGCCCTGGAGCTGACTCGGGGCTTGGTGTTGAGTGGGGAGAGGGATGGAAGGGGGTTTCCTTCCCTTCCGCAGCTCCCGCTTTGAATTCTCCGAGTCGGGCAAACCCTGGCCGATACTCCCACCGAGGAGACGGGGAGCGCCGCGGAGACCTCCACCCTGTAACCCACCCCTCTACTGCCTACTCACCGGCCGGAGTCGGCCGCGGCAGCTGGAGCCCCAGCGCCTGGCCCGAGCGCGAAGACAAGTGCCCGGCCGGGCAAGGGCGTGTGAGCCGGGAGGGAGTGTGCGCGCCGCCGCAGAGCTGACCCCCTCCCCGCCGTTCCGGGCCCCGCCCCGCCGCCCGGGGAGGGGGCGCCCACCGCGCCGAGGGAGAGGCAACCGGCGGCTGCCACCGCGCGCCCCCTCCCCCGCCACGTTGCTCTAGAAGTGGGGGGCGGGAATCCCCGTCTCGCGCAAGCCCCCTCCCCGCAGGGGCGTGCCAGCAAATCTCCGAACAGGTTCCTAAAGCCGAGAGGACCTTCTGCCGCCGCTGGCCCGCGGCGCTCATTTTTTAGGTGGGGAAACTGAGACCCAGGGCGGGGGGAACCCCTGGCCCGGGCCCAGCGACCCAGCAGCACAGAAGACAGCTGTCCGCGCCCCCCCACCCCACCCCCGGGGACCGCTCCCGGGATCGGGGGAAGGAGCCGAGGCCAGGGCAACAGAGGAAGGCTATTAAGCGCCCCCCTCCACGAACCCTGAGTGGGACCAGGGGGAATAGGGGGTTTGGGGCAGCTGGTGATGCTGCCCGGGCTGGAAGGTCCCAGCGAGGGAGGGGAGACCCGGGATGTCCAGAAAACTAACCACAGTAAACTTCTTCGTATTACTGTTGCGTCGTGATACCCTGAAACCAGCCCTCTTAAATGCAGGGTGCCGGGACCCCGCCGAACGTGAAAGGAAGAGGCCTGGATGGCAGGGTTTCTGAAGGTCACTGCCAAATGAGAACAATGCGGCTACCCAGGTCTGGGTCACTAGGGGATGGGGTATTGAGTCTAGGGCTCAGTCCTCCGATGACCTTGGCGCTGCCCAAGCCCCTCTCCGAGTCTGTTTCTCGGAGTGTCTGGACTGGGCAGTGCCCGCCTCTGGGGTCCCTCCAGCTCTCGGGAATCTGTAGGGCTGCCGGCTACGTTTTGCTGGTCTCCAACTTTCCCCTTACCTCCAGGAAGCGTGGCGCCCTCCCAAAGACCACTGTCTTCGCCCGCGGCCCCCGCAGCTCCGCCCGCCCCTTCTCTGAACCCGCAACCACCTTCCACCTGGGCCGGGGGTGTGGGCAATTTCCTCTTGGGAGCCAGAAGGTTCCTACGAGCCTACATCCCTTTTTTCGTCCCCCCCCCCTTCTTTTCTTCCATTCATTCTAAAAATAGCCCTCCCCCTCCAACCCCCCTTCCGTCTCCAACCCTTCCCCCTCCCCCCACCCCGGGCCAGGAGCGTCTCGTTAAGGGTACTGTGCTCCCGGGAGGGGTCCTGAGGCGGGGATCCCGCGGTGCGGGAGGGGCTGGGGGAGGCGGCCCGCGGAGGCGAATGGGGAGGGGGAGGCGACTGCGAACGCTTTCCTCCCTCTTCCCATTATGTGTGTGTAAGCCGCGCTCAGAGGGAGCCGCCAGCGTGACCGTGGCCATGTATGGAGGGAAAGAGAACAAAGCGGCGGGGGGCCTCCGGGGTCTGCATTGTGTGGGCAGAGAGGGGGAGGGCTGCGGGAACCGCGGGGACTCCACAGAGGAGGGGCCTCCCCCAGCACCTCTCAGGGAGTGACTTCCAGCCCGTGAGGGGATGCTGAGGCCCCCTGTGAGGGACAGTCCGGAGCCACTGGTGACAGGACACGCATCTTTTGGGGTGTCCCCCGCCCTTGAACCCCACAATTGCCCTGCAGAAGCCCCGGAACGCCCCCTCAGTCCCGCAGCTCATGTGTCCCCGGTGTGTCACCCCACTGTCCCTTCTCTGATGCAGCCACAGAATCCCATCGTCAACCATGTGACTGGTCACATCCTGCCCCACATTACCGGCCACCTCCTCCTTGAACCGAAAGGATGATCCTCATTCCTCCCCCCTTGCAAGGCCCACATGGTCTGGTCTAACCTCAGCTTTTCAGCTGTCACCCTGTCCAGCCTTGGGGCCTTTGCATTGCTGCTCCTTCTGCCAGGATCACCCTTTCCCAGCTCGCCTCACCCCCTATTGTCTTTCAGAAGCCCGGTCCAATGTCACCTCCTGCCTAGAGGCCTTCCTTATCTAGGCACATCAGCCTAGTTTGCTGTCCTCAATCCCTAGTGGAAGCGGTTGGTTCACTTACTCACCTTTGGCTTCCCCAGAAATGGGGATCGGGAGAATGGGGACCCAGTTCCACTTGGGCCTAGCTGATGAGTGGAGAAGTCCAACTCTGACTTAGGACCACCCCAGGAGTTAACCAGCTCCAAATAAAGGAATGGCATCACCCTCTGCCCAGTGACCCACCCCCAGAAAGCACCCCTAGGACATGGCACAAAAGATCCAGGATCTGATTCTGCAGGGGCGTTGCCTAGGACACTGAAACTATAAACACAGTCAGGGGCTCAAATGTTTCCCTTCTGAGGACTGCTGGTTTCCAGAATAACATGCCCCTGGGAAAAATGATCCATGGGGCCGAGTTTTTGGCCTGTTGGGCAGAAGCCAGGCAGGAGGTTTGACTGAGTGTTCGGATGGCAAATAAATACGAAGGGCAAAGATGAGAAGTGGGGATAGGGGGAGGCATTGAGGGGCAGCCTAGGGCCAGGGACTGACCTTTTCTGTTATTAGCTTTCCTATAATGTTTTATTATCTTTCTTGTTTTCAAAACCAAGGAGGAGGATAAAAGGCAAATTACTTTGTTGGAGGGTACAAAAGCTCAGACAGGGTGTGTGTGCCTCTAACGTAAGAAAAATGCAACTCTCTGTGTTGAAGAATCAAATGCTACCCCCAGGACTTGCCTCCATAAAATTACCCTCCAAAATTTTTCTGCGTATCTACTATATGCTTGTGTGCCCAGAGGCTGAAGGGAAGCCTGGTGTAGGAGGTTCCTGGGTCTCAGGCTTGAGAGAGCCCTAGAGGTTCCGGGAGAAGGAGGTGATGGCAGCTGGGATAGGGAGAGACATTATATCATCTCAGCAGGGTCAGGCCCATGGCAGAGAGTTTGGAGGGGCTTTAGGGGTTGAGAAAGACAGAGACAGACACACAGAGACAAAGAGAGAAGGCGGTGGAGGTGCCAAGCCTTTGCGCATTGTATTGCCTGGCTAGGACTTTACCTCAGGGTGGTGTTCGAAGCCAGGATGGGAGATGGCAGGGGAGGGCACCAGTGTGCAGGGCTGTGGGGCACCAGAGAGATAAGAAACAAAGGAATCATCTGATCTGAGAGGTCCCAGTGGCTTTCAGAAAGACTCAAGGGACAGGCAGGGGATGGGGTTGGCCGGGAGGAGAAGGGAGTGGTCCGACCAAAATTAGAGCTGCCAGTAAAAACGGTGCATGGAATGAGACACACTTAGAATAAAAATTATTCCATTGCTTAACTGGAAGTCAAGCTTAACTGGTGTGTTCTATACCTTTTCTTCTTCTAAATCTGGAAATCTTAGATCCAGATTTCCTGGCTCAGCAAACCTAGGGTTTGCAGGTTGGCGGGGGGTGGGGGGGCCGGCGGTGGTGTCCTCAAGGTGTTCGTCCCCTCCCCCAGCCACCCCATACCCTTCCGTGTTCCCTTCATAAGCTTCTCTTTGTTCCCCTCATACTGTCCGTGTCCTTTAGCTGCTCCCCGTTCCTCCTCCCTTCTCTGTTTTTCCCTTTCCTCTACTATCTTCCTCATTAATCCCTCCTCCGACCTCATCCAGTACCCCTCTCCCCACCACCTCTACCCTTTCCCGTGCCCCCTACCTTCTCGGGCACCCACTCCGCCTCCTCTTTCCACCACCATCCTCCCCCGTCCCCCAGGCCCTCTCCGCGTTCATTCTCTTCCCTGGCACCCACCTTCTCCAATCAGCCACACACACCGCCCCCCCCCCACCCCTGCAATCGATCTCCCCCAGGAGCACGAAGGGGAACCCCGGCCCCAGGCGCGGAGCCCCACGCAGGCGCAGAACCACTCGGTTTCCCCGAGGCTGCCGCCGCCCCCGCACTGCGGCCCGCGCGCCCGGTTGTCAAGGCGACGGCGAGAGCGGGAACCTGGGGAAGACCCCACGCTTGCTCCCTCCCCTGCCCACGCCTCAGCAAACCCCACTCCAGTTTGAGCCGGTTTCCCCGCCCCGCCCCCAGTGCGCAGTGCGGCAGGTGAGGATTCCCTGGCCCACAGGGCGGGGGTCGGGCGGGGGTCGACGCATGCGCGCCGTGCGCGGCTTTTCCCTCTCCGACTCGCTAGCGACGGGAAAGCCCTGGCCCTGTTGAGACAACCCCCGCGCAAGCGCAGTGAGTGTCCGGCGTCCCCGCGGCCCCGCCCGGTCGTCCTGGCAACGCGCGGAGAGGGCTCGGAGCGCACGGAACTCCCGTCTCACGCCCCCTCCCGCACATTGCGGCGAAGCCGGGGATTCCCTGTTGCCTGCGCGCATGCGCGAGCCTGGGATTTCCGCGGGGGTGGGACCAGAAGATAGAAGAAGCTTTCTTTGAAACAGTCGTTGTTACCGTCGTCTTTGTGCCTTAGGAATGAAGGCAGTCCTCCTAGCTTCTGTCCTGAGTTTCACCTTCACTCTCTGACCTACCAGTCATTCCCCTACAAGTCCCCAGCAGAGCTTGCCACGCACAGCTCTGGTACTTTCTACTCTGCTCACACGTCCACCACGGCTCTCTGTCGCCCTGGGGTAAAGCCCCACTCATCCCACCCTTGGCATCCAAGGCCCTGTAGGCTCAACTTGCTTCTTCCCTCCGATTACTCATCACTGGTTCTAGACCTTCCCTAATCCCTGGCCACAACAAATACCCCAAACCTGGCCACACAGGAGGCTCCTTTGCCAGGTCTTCTTCAGGATCTGCCCTTCCTAGGCACCATCTCCTTGATTCTCGAGATGGCCTAGGCTTAGATACTGTTTTCAGTCCTATTTTATATAGGAGAAAACAAGCTTGGACCCATTAAGGCCTTGGTCTAAGGCCCCCAGAGCTAAGAGGCAGAGGCCTCCCTTTGTGGGGAGCCATCTGGGCTTCTCTGTTACCCAGCTGATAACCGGAGCCCCAGTTCTGGGCCCCACCTCCACACTGCTGACTGAGTGCTTTCTGAATATGTGATGCAGGCAGGCGCCTTAGTTTTTCCATCTAGAAAGAGGATCAATGTAACAGGGGACTGTCCCCAGGGCTCAGTAAAATGACATTTGTTGTTCAATCGCTCAGTCATGTCTGAGTCTTTGCAACCCAATGGACTGCAGCATGCCAGGCTTCCCTGTCCATCACCATCTCCCAGACCTTGCTCAAACTCTTGTCCATTGAGTTGGTGATGCCACCCAACCATCTCATCCTCTGTTGTCCCCGTCTCCTCCTGCCTTCAGTCTTTCCCAGCATCAGGGTCTTTTCCAATGAGTCAGCTCTTTGCATCGTGTGGCCGAAGTATTGGAGCTTCAGCTTCAGTATCAGTCCTTCCAATGACTTTTCAGGATTTCCTTTAGGATGAACTGGTTTCATCTCCCTGCTGTCCAACGGACTCTTAAGCGCCTTCTCCAACACTACAGTTCAAAAGCATCAGGTTTTCGGTGCTCAGCCTTCTTTATGGTCCAAATCTCACTTCCACACATGACTATTGGAAAAACCATAGCTTTGACTATGCGACGGGAAAGCCCTGGCCCTGTTGAGACAACCCCCGCGCAAGCGCAGTGAGTGTCCGGCGTCCCCGCGGCCCCGCCCGGTCGTCCTGGCAACGCGCGGAGAGGGCTCGGAGCGCACGGAACTCCCGTCTCACGCCCCCTCCCGCACATTGCGGCGAAGCCGGGGATTCCCTGTTGCCTGCGCGCATGCGCGAGCCTGGGATTTCCGCGGGGGTGGGACCAGAAGATAGAAGAAGCTTTCTTTGAAACAGTCGTTGTTACCGTCGTCTTTGTGCCTTAGGAATGAAGGCAGTCCTCCTAGCTTCTGTCCTGAGTTTCACCTTCACTCTCTGACCTACCAGTCATTCCCCTACAAGTCCCCAGCAGAGCTTGCCACGCACAGCTCTGGTACTTTCTACTCTGCTCACACGTCCACCACGGCTCTCTGTCGCCCTGGGGTAAAGCCCCACTCATCCCACCCTTGGCATCCAAGGCCCTGTAGGCTCAACTTGCTTCTTCCCTCCGATTACTCATCACTGGTTCTAGACCTTCCCTAATCCCTGGCCACAACAAATACCCCAAACCTGGCCACGCAGGAGGCTCCTTTGCCAGGTCTTCTTCAGGATCTGCCCTTCCTAGGCACCATCTCCTTGATTCTCGAGATGGCCTAGGCTTAGATACTGTTTTCAGTCCTATTTTATATAGGAGAAAACAAGCTTGGACCCATTAAGGCCTTGGTCTAAGGCCCCCAGAGCTAAGAGGCAGAGGCCTCCCTTTGTGGGGAGCCATCTGGGCTTCTCTGTTACCCAGCTGATAACCGGAGCCCCAGTTCTGGGCCCCACCTCCACACTGCTGACTGAGTGCTTTCTGAATATGTGATGCAGGCAGGCGCCTTAGTTTTTCCATCTAGAAAGAGGATCAATGTAACAGGGGACTGTCCCCAGGGCTCAGTAAAATGACATTTGTTGTTCAATCGCTCAGTCATGTCTGAGTCTTTGCAACCCAATGGACTGCAGCATGCCAGGCTTCCCTGTCCATCACCATCTCCCAGACCTTGCTCAAACTCTTGTCCATTGAGTTGGTGATGCCACCCAACCATCTCATCCTCTGTTGTCCCCGTCTCCTCCTGCCTTCAGTCTTTCCCAGCATCAGGGTCTTTTCCAATGAGTCAGCTCTTTGCATCGTGTGGCCGAAGTATTGGAGCTTCAGCTTCAGTATCAGTCCTTCCAATGACTTTTCAGGATTTATTTCCTTTAGGATGAACTGGTTTCCTCTCCCTGCTGTCCAACGGACTCTTAAGCGCCTTCTCCAACACTACAGTTCAAAAGCATCAGGTTTTCGGTGCTCAGCCTTCTTTATGGTCCAAATCTCACTTCCACACATGACTATTGGAAAAACCATAGCTTTGACTATATGGACCTTTGTAGGCAAAGTAATATCTCTGCTTTTTAATATGCTAAGTCTGTCATAGCTTTTCTTCCAAGGAATAAGCGTCTTTTAATTTCATGGCTGCAGTCAATATCTGCAGTGATTTTTGGAACCTAAGAAAATAAACTCTCTCACTGTTTCCATTGTATCCCCATCTATTTGCCATGAAGTGATGGGGCCGGATGCCATGATCTTCGTTTTTTGAATGCTGAG